GGTTAGGTTACTGTACCCTGCAATGCATTGGCATTCTGTCTAGGGCACCCACCCACCCCCCCCCCCACCTTGTGCCCTATTCTGCCTGGGAAAGGCTCCTTGCTTCTCCCGTGACCCTTACAAGGATAAGCATTTGGAAGATGCATGAATTAAGGAATTAAAACTGAATAATTTCAACCCTTTTTGTCCATCTTTCGGACATTCTTCCAGTTTACCCTATCCTGATGGTGAACTCAAAACCAGTGATGTCCCGAGCCAATATCAGAGGCATTTTTTAATTGATCGATATCTGCCATTACAGCTCATCTATTTAATTTCCAGCGTCTGCATTATTTATGTCATTTGCACATTTGTAAGGGTCTGTCACATGCTGCAGTAAGCCTTGATGTCAGGCGCCCCGAAATTCTTTAAATTGGAAACTAGCCCAACAGCTACCTGCAATGTTTGCAAATGCAAGATTGGATTGGCAGATATAAATATTAAATGGATCAGATTGGGATACCTAAAAAGTGGGTTTGGACATCCCTACTCAAAACAAACACATGAACATTCCTTCTTTAATTAAGCTGCTCATGATATAGTTTATCCATTTTACTACCTCTGCAAACCACTGTACTCACACCATTGAAGGAGACTAACTGCCATCCTGGGTACCATTTATGTGTTAAGTACTGTATGTATTTGCCTATGATCAGCATTTTGAGTCTATGGTGAGCTTGGGGACCCGTGTGCCGTAGCCCAGCTTTTCCTTTCTAACAGGAATCTGTCTCTTTATTTTTATATTATATAAAGGTTCGGCATGGTGCTGGGACTGGCCTCAGGGAGATCCTCAAATGTCACGGTGCTGGGGGCGGCAAGTTGGTTGGGAGTACTGTTGAGGAGGTTGGTCCCCTTTAAGTTTGCTGTCCTGCTGCTTAGTTGGGCTGCACAATATCACTTAGCAGAGGAGTAGTAGGCCTGAAATATTAATGAGGCGTATTGTGAAGCCCAAAAGTTGTTAATCAGTATAAATTCGGAGTATCCTTATGTTCAATAAACGTGTTGGACTTTAATCTGCAAGAAGTGCTGTCACACCACGTTACCTTACTTATCCACAATATCTCTTCTTTCGAAGGATGTCGTGGCTGCTTGGCTGCGGAGCTGTCCCTTTCCGCACCGCCACTTCAATGCTTGTCACTTCCATGATTTACCGCATCAGTAGTACATGGTGTGCTCCCTTAACCAAATGTAATAAACATAAGGATATATCGAATTTATACCGATTACTAACTTTTGGGCGCCACAATACACCTCAGTAATATATTAAGCATACTATTAATCTACTTACCAAATTGTGGGTGTAAGTAAATGTCTGTATAGTACCAAAAAGCTGCATAAATGTTAACGTCTGCAATCTGAAGCCCTGGTGATCATTGCACATGTGGCATATAATCACGATTATTTCATGATTATGATATGCAGCCCTGCTGCCCTGGTACAATTTGAAACTTGTTCCTATGTTTTTTTGCATTTTAAAAATTGCCATTTAAACTTTTTTTTCCCCCCAAGTTACACTAAACACCACAAATTTAAGGAGTTTTTTTTTTTATATATACTGTCAAACTTTATTCAAATCTGTTGCTTTATATTTGAAGTTAGCCAGCATGGTGTTTGCCTCTGTTTTTGTCTTCTGTTTATATACACAGTGCAGATAATCAGCTTTTGTTTGTAGCTACTTTTAGACTTGTGAATAATAACACCTTTGTAAGGGCTGTTTGCGGCTTTGTCTGCCTTGCATTCACTCCACTGACAGATGACGTTATAGTACCTGGTTACAGTTTTGTCATGTGGATCACAGACAGTGGATCATTTCAGTGAGATTCTTGCATTCCCATCTTAACCTTAACCTTAATCATCATAGTGTTTCAGATGCATGTTCTAATAATCTGTTACACGACAATATTTATTTTGCTGCTAATCTCTTGTTTGGTCAAAGTAATTACATTGAAATGTTGTCCCTTTGGGCATCTTTTAATCCACACTGTTGAGGAACATCTAATTACTCAAGTGTAATTTTACAGGTATATACTGCTAGATGTAATAACTGAGTAAAGCATTGGGGCATTATTTAGTATTGCATTCAGTGAAAGTCTGTGGGTGTTGAAGCACCTTTTGCACTCACACCTGGTAATCTGAGGAGTTCAGTGATGGCATAGGCAAATTGGTGTGTCTGAATTTCACATGGTGTGTGTGCCCTGTAGTGGACTGGCATCTCTTTCTATGTTTTCCCCAGCCCTGTGTTTCCAGCTCCATGCTCTCTGACCCTATACTGGAAAAGCAGTTGGAATAGTCTATGCATTCTGCGGTTCATGTATCTTCTATATTGATTGTCCAGTTTTAATTATGTGTTAATGTAGACTTTGGTGTAGTTCCGTCTTGCTAAATTGATGGTGAGCATTGCTTTTTCTTTGCTTCTGCCTGGTGTCCTAATCCTAAGAAACTTTAAATGTAAATTGTGATGATCCAACTCCTATTTTCAGCCTTGTTGATTATGTAATTACTTGTATTTTTGGAATAAGGTGGCCTGTTGTAATTAAGGTTTAAGTTGCTATACCTTTATCACAGACTTCTGCTCTCACCGCCATATTCAAGGCATTATTTGAATTTGCGAGCATTTCAGAGTTCTGGGTTATTTTAAACCCAGAGGTTCTGACCGAGAAGGTAACTTTGTAGCTTTTCACTTCCAGTCAGCTGAAGTTTAATGTTCTCTTCCGTTCTCCCTTCCTATTTCTGCGCAGATGGCTCGGCAGCATCAGGAGTGGCTTGAAGACCTTGTCATACGGCTGCTTTGTGTGTTTGCCCTTGACAGATTTGGAGACTTTGTGTCTGATGAGGTGAGGCATAATCTGTCCATTGTGAGATGTGTGGTCATTTTTTTTAGGTAACAATTAATCCATAGAGTTGGAATCTGGACTAGAGTGTTGCACTCTAACCAGTTTTTCAAGTTATATGCTAGCCAGAAAGTCAAAATCATATATGAAATTCAAGCAAATTTGTTTACTCTGCAAACCCCATGCAGGTGGTAGCTCCGGTTAGGGAGACATGTGCCCAGACGCTGGGCATGGCCCTGAGACACATGCTGGACGGCGGTGTCACCATGACAGTGGGCATATTGCTCAAGCTGCTGACAGAGGACCAGTGGGAAGTCCGACATGGAGGACTTTTAGGCATTAAGTATGCTCTGGCAGTTCGACAAGTAAGTCCTGTCCTCTTATTATCCATATCCTGTGTAGACTTGGCTCTCCTTGGACCTAATTTAGCTGGGAGGAGTGCTGAGTTCTTGTTGCAAACTTAATTCTTTTTTTTCTTCTTCTTCAAAGTAGTTGCGTCATGTCCCTAGTGGGCTGGCTGTGATGTCAGTGTCCTTAGTGGAGTCTTTACCTGAATAAGTGGAGGTTTTCCTGTTTTCTGACCCTTCAGGATCTGATTGGAACGCTGCTTCCCAGGGTTTTGCCTGCCATTATTGAGGGTCTCCAGGACTTAGATGATGATGTCAGGGCTGTAGCGGCTGCTGCACTCATCCCTGTTGTGGAGGGGCTGGTGCAACTGCAGCCCACCGAGGTCAGCTTTCTGCCATGTCTTCTGTCAGCACCTTCTACTGGTCACCTTTTCACCTTTTACTGGTCTCCAAACTTTGGTTTACTTTAATTCATTTTCATATCCACTTCAGAGTCCTGTTCTGTAAGGCCTGTCAGTGGCTGAGTCCTATTGACAGGTCTTAGACCTGATCCTAGATTTCTGCATGCAACACGTACAGCAGGTAGCTGACAGAACGTCGATCAGAGGTGTGCGATAGTCTTTGCATAGTACTCGAGCAATATGTCAGTAGGCTGATATTAAGGTTCCACAAATTCATCAGCATTGCCTGAAATCACACTGCTAAAGAACCAGTAATGTGTCTTTAAATGTTTATTATGCGGAAACGGAGCTCTTACTGGAGAAGATGCTGTGAAGCTGCATTCCCTGCATTGTGACTTGCCACTCTGGATTATTAATGCTACAGTTCAGTCTAGGGTTTGAATATGACAAATGTGTGTAGTTCATATATGGTAAGGACCAACTGTAAGGTTTATTAGTAATTATACATTACGACCATACATTATAATTATTGGTGTCTTTGTTCCCATACATACAGCGTAACAGTTGCATGTTAACGTTGCCTTTTTTTCAGATTGGCTTTTGAAAGTGATGCTCTGCAGTACACAAGTGTGTTTTCTTGCACCTCCTTGTAGTTGCAGTAAAGAATCTTCTAACTCTGTGTGTTGAGTGTGTTTTAAAGCTGCATGTCTCCAAAGGTCCCGTTCATCGTGAACACGTTATGGGATGCTCTTTTGGAGCTGGATGACCTTACTGCCTCCACCAACAGCATCATGACTCTGCTTTCGTCACTGCTTACCTACCCTCAGGTCCGACAGAGCAGGTATGTGAGACTGCTCTATTGTGTGAGCAAGCCCTCGGACCCGCACTCGTCCCATTGGCCACCTCAGACCCGCACTCGTCCCATTGGCCACCTCAGACCCGCACTCGTCCCATTGGCCACCTCAGACCCGCA